TGAAGATCTCTATATGTTTTTTATTAGTAACTACCCCAGCTATATATATATATATGTGTGTGTGTGTGTGTGTGTGTGTGTATGTATGTATTTGAAAGTATTTTTTGTTATTGTTAAGGTAACATTCCTTAAAATGTAAAATAAAGGCTGTGAACTAAACAGTTTATTTTGATAGTGAAGAACTGGAGAGTTTGTGGGAAAGGGAAAGTTAAATTGTAGCTCCTCGTTAAAAAGAGAAATCTCCTGTCATCTCCCGCATGGAGAACCTTGTTTTCTTTCTTTCTTTTTCACATCGTTTTCTTCATTGTGTGCTTCTGGAATGAAGGCCCGATGGAGCTCTTTGCCGAGTAGGCGTTTTGGAGTTGGGGTTGTCTGTAGCACTTCTACTCGGGTGCCTTCAGCGCTGTGCTCTATCCCCGGGAGAGGCTGGTGGTGGAGGGAGGAACAGGCTGCAGGTGCCCCGGGACCTGTGTGCGCGCTCCCGCTTGTTGGTGACCAGGCCGGGGTCAGGTGCTGTGTGTTTCTAAGGTCTAAAACTTTAACTTAGAACTTGAAGACTGAAAATAGTGGCTGCCTTTACCAGCCCTTCCCCTGCGCTTAGAATTCTGCTTCTCCTGGGATACTTATCGAGGGGCCCACCTCCTCTTCGTCAGTGCGAGGCAGGTAGGGACTGAGTCTGAAAGCAAATAGTGCCTTTGACAGCGCTCAGCTTCTTAGAGCTGCAGCAGCCTGGAAAGTTGTATGAGGAGCGTGTGGTGTGTGTGGGGTGTGTGTGTGTGTGTGTGTGTGTGTGTGTGTGTGTGTGTGTTTAAAAATTATTTGAGGACTTAATTTCCCTAAAGCACAAAGAAATGAAGTAGATTGATGACTAAAAAGTACTTGTTTTTGGCCTTTGCTTAGCTCCCCCCCCCCGCCCCCATCCATCAAATGGCTAATAAAATAGTTAATAAGTTAACAGGAAGAATTTCCTATGGCACCGTACTGTCTTGGCACTCAGGCCAGGAGTCCATCCACCTGGGCCCTTATAGATGTCCTGTGCTGTGACGCGGTAGGCGGGGCCCAGCACCCTTCTTAGGAGAAACCATCTGCAGAAGATGGATTGAATGCAGTGCAGCAGAGTAATAACATTTATGAACAGCAAAGGGAAAATGGCCAGCACTTCTTTTAAACAGTTAAGTTGGATGGAAGTTCTGTTTATCAGCAGAACTTGGCAAGTTGGTCCAGCCTCCTCTGTCTTCACTGAGAAACCGAAATCGAGGCTTTGAAGACCCAGTGGAGAAAAAGATGTTTTAAGAATTCAATTCCAACCCGGGTGGCTCCGTGGTTGAGCACTGACCCAGGAACCAGGAGGTCACGGTTTGATTCCCAGTCAGGGCACATGCCCGGGTTACGGGCTGGATCCCTGGTGGGGGCCATACAGGAGGCAGCCCATCGATGAGTCTCTCTCATCAGTGATGTTTGTATCTCTCCCTCTCCCTCTCCCTTCCTCTCTGAAACCAATAGAAACATTAAAAAATAAAGAATTCAGTTCCTTGGTACCTATTGAAATAGGAGAGTTTGTTTTCCTTTATTTCATATCATTTATGTCTTTTGAATTAGTATTAGCTTAAAAATATTAAATCTTGCCACTCTCCCTCCCACCTGTGCCTTTCTCCTCTCCCAGGGCATTGTTTTCCTTGCCCGTGTGTGTGTGTGTGTGTGTGTGTGTGTGTGTGTGTGTCTGTGTCTGTCTCTCTCTCTTTTTTATTTTCTCTCTCTCCTAAGCTCCAAGGGCCCTTTTGCTTCTGTAACTTGTTTCCTGAACCCATTTCTCCTACGGCCCAGTTTTTCTACCTCTGTAACTTTCTAAATAAAGTTTCTCTTCTTTCCCTGGCTGGTGTGCTGAGTGGTTAGAGCATCCACCCATGTACGGAAAAGTCACTGGTTTAATTCCCAGTCAAGGGTCTGTACCTGGTTGCAGTTAGATCTCCAGTCCCAGTCTGGGCATGTGTAGGAGGCAAACAGTGGATGTCTCTGTCACACACACCCCTCTCCCTCCCTTCCTGCTTCCCTTCCTCTCTTCCATTCTTTCTAAAAATCAATGGAAAAAATATCCTGGGGTGAGGATTAACAAAACAAAAAGATTAAATCTTAAGTCCCTTAGGCATTAGTAACTTACTAGTTTTCAATTCCTTATTTCTCCTTTATTTTTCTGGAAATATCAAAACGAGCCCCAGTTTTACATTATGTACAAGTATTATGTGGGGTTTAGCCCTCCACATTCCTAACAGTGTCTCAGAGGGAGGCTTTGGGTTGAAGGGACCGCTCAGACTTCTTCCCCGGCCTTCGCCTTGTCCCGGAGCCCGGAGTGGCTGTGGCAGGGAAGTCGCAGCCCCTCGGGAGGATGGAAGGGTGGCTGTTGAGGTGACAGGAGAAAGCACCAGAGCCGGGAAAGGGGAACTAGAGCCGCCGCCTGAGGGGAAGGGAGGACATGTGTGGTCGTGAGGGACAGAATCACAGGGCGCTGGCACGGTTTTGGTTTTAAAGGAAAAGAAGGTGGAAGACAGAACAGGAACATGTAACAAGTAACTTGGTAGTGTGTGTAGGCCCAAGAGAAGGACTGGCTCATTCACCGCTGGGAAAGAGACTTGTCCTGTGGCTGGGAGGAGGCTGGGAGAGAAGCGTGAATGAGGGAATGCCCACGGGTGCAGGGAGCCAGGCAGCCTCACCCTCCTTTACCAGCTTAGCTGGCTTTAACCTTTTTCCACCTGTTCGTCCACCAAACTGTGGAATCATCTGGTCTACCCAGGAGAGGTAGTTGGAGTCTTAAAGGTCATTGAATGTGCACGTTTTCCTATTTCATTAAACAAGGCATAGTGCTCGCCTAATGCACAGTGTAATGTTATAAATCACTCATAGTTTAAAGTAAACGAGTCCTTCAATAAAAGCATACAGATTGATGCTAAATGACACTCTGAGCATCTCTAGAATTTTGGCAGTCTCAGAAGTTAGCAAAAGAAATGCTCACGGTTTGCCCTTAGGGGCAGCCCAGCAGGCCCGGGTCCTTCCATTCTCTGACTGTCTTAACAGGCAGTGCCTGTCAGTCATTGTGTGTGAGCCAGTAGTACTCAGCAGCTCTAGGAAACTGACTCAAACTTTACTGACAGACAGTACCTGATAAAACACGCAGTTTGTGTTTGTATACAGGCTTCTAGATATAGCAGGATGAATAGCCTCCTTGTTATTAAGAATTAACTATCAAGTGTCTTTCCCCCTCCAAACATTTTTAAATATTTCTGCCGAAGTAAAATGTCAAGTTGTTATTTAGAAGATGGAATCATTTACAGAGAGACACAAAGGTTAAGTTATTGGATGGCAGTTTATAAAACAGCCATAGATTCTTTAATTCTGTGGGAATCAGACATGCTCAGACTTCATTTAATCTCTGCTTATGGGGATTAGGCATTTAAAAATGATTCCAAAATGTACTCTGTGAGCGATTAGTAGCAACTTCCATTAGTTATTGTCATCGAGAGGAGGTAGGATTTCGAAGAGCATTGGAGAAGACCCACTTGTATGTCCGTGTCTGGGGATTACGTCAGCGGGTGTGCCTGCTGAGCCCCAGCCGCGCTCCGCCGCACTGCAGTGTCCTGTGGGAGCCCTGACTCATCCCCTGGCCTGGCCTGCTGCCCGCTTCCTGTAACCCGGCCCCCTTCGGAGGTGCAGGCGCATCCTTAGATGCTGCGTCCAGTCCAAGTCGTTTTGTTTGCATAGATGAGGAAACTTTAGCTGGGAGAAGAAGTGATTCCAAGTTACCATGAGGTGCTTGCTTTTAGTTATGTCAGTAATCTCCTTTGGTGGGTTCTAGAATGTGACTTTTATTTTCTGTGTGTGGTTTGGGTGTTATTTTGATAATGTGTTTTACATAAATTATAGAGCAGCTTAAGGAAAGTTCAGAAAGTGAAGAGAGGAGATCCTTCAGCATGCCGCCACCTGACAGCTGTTTGTCCCGGATTCCCTGCGGCTCTTGGTCCAGGTGCTCGCACAGCACCAACTGAGCTACGTGTGTGGCTGGTGTCGGGCAGTGTGGCTTCTCGTACCTGTGGGGGAGCCACATTTCAGTAGTCAGAACACCCAGCTGATTTGTTCAGTTGGTTTTCTGTTTTGTTTTGTTTTTATTTTTTTATTTTTTTTTGGAAAGAGCTCCACTTTATTATGAAAAATTGTTTTTGTCTTTTTAAAAACAAACAGGCAATTGATAAGGAAGGAGAAGTAGGGGAGAATTGAGGTGCTTCGTTAGTCACACCAAACCCTTGCAATTCAATTCATTTGTGAACCATGAGGAGGAACAGAATTAAATAACCAGATGGGGGTACAGAGCTAAGATTCCCAGCCTTCCCTCTTGGGGAAAACCGAGGCAGAGTAATACTGAGCAAAAGTGGAGGAAGCCACCCCCAGGTCATCCCAATGAGGTGACTTGGGGACAGGGAAGAGGATCCACATGGACATGGAAAACAGGCGTGGCTTGTGAACCTGGGACCTTGGGAGGAGAGCTGGGGGTGTTTGTAAACCAGGTTATGGTCAAGAGAGGAGGCAAGAGCCCAGCCCGTGGGGCTCAGTGGTTGAGCATCAGCCTGTGAACGAGGAGATCACGGTTCGATTCCCAGTCAGGGCACAGGCCCCAGTTGCTGGCTTGATCCCCAGTCGGGGCGTGCAGGAGGCAGCCGATTGATGGTTCTCTCTCATCATTGATGTTTTTATCTCTCTCCCTCTCCCTCTCTGAAATCAATAAAAAAATATTTTAAAAAGAGAGAGGAAGCAGGAGCTGTAAACGAGGGGCAGTGCCTAAGGAACAGAAGAAAGAGGTGCCTATAAAAGGACTGGGCCGGCCTCCCAAGGAAGGCTGCAGGGAGGTGTGCTGTGCCCACAGAGATGGAGGGGTTCTCCTCCCCCACCCCATCCCGTGAGCTCGGCCTCCGCCTCGGGGTCACCGAGGGACCGTGAGCACAGCTGACACGCACTCTGGGGACTGGGGGTGAGGTGGCTTTGGGCTCTGTCCTCAGGGACAGGGTGGGGACAGCAGGTCGGAGGACGCTGGCTGCCCTTCCTGCCAGGCTCCTTTCAGGGGCGTCTGTTCTGAATCTTCCGGGACCCAGGATCTTCATTTCGGGAAGGAGGAAGGTAGGTCCCTGTGTTGGAAGAGGGTCACCTCCGGCAGGACTCATCCACTAGCAGCACCTTGGAGCGCAGGCCGCCCAGGGGCTCTGCCTGCAGCTCTTCCTCCTCCTCTTCCTCGGTCGTTGGGCTGGGCCGCAGGGGCGCCAGGGGGCCTCGGGCTCCGGGCCCAGCTCCCGCAGCACCAAGCTCTCGGAGGGGTACTGGTACGTAGTCTCTAGGGCTGTCTCACTGAAGGAGATCTTGAGCTGTTTGTGGTGCCTTTCAGGGGACCCCTTGACAAGGCAGCTGCGGCTGAGGCGGAGGTAGCCCCCCAGAACCGAGATCTCCTCCGCAGTCGGGTACCACTTCTTCCCAGCCCCGGGGGCCGCAGCATCAGCGGGGGCAGGAGCAGCAGGGGCTGCGTGGGGCGCAGACCGACTGGGGTTGGCGGTGAAGGTGTGCCCGCTGC